CCGCTCGCTCCGACTCCCCTCGCTGCCCTCCCTCTCCCCCATCCCCCCGCCCGCCGAGTTGCCCCGGAGACCACGACGCCGCTGCCCCGGGAACCCATGAGAGCCCCGCGGCTGCCGCCAGCGCCGGTGGTGCTGTCGCTGCTGCTCCTCGGCTCAGGTGAGGACCCGCCGGCTCCGATCCGTCGGGCGCTTCTCTCAGGGCGGGCAGCGTTGTCTCCCGTCGAGGGTTTCTGCGGCTTCTCCAAAAAATGACCCTGGGCGCTTGAACACAGCAGCTTTGTTAAGCAGCTCCCTTCCCAAGGTCCCTCCGTGGGGAAAGAGAGGAGCGCGCGATGTCTCAGACAACCAGGCCAGGGTGCAGGAGACAGTCCCTGCACTTTTACTGGAGTTCAGCTGAAGGAGGTCGTGGGGAACATTTTACCCCACTCTTCATTATACAGATAGGAAGACTGTGGCTCAGGGACGCGAAGTGTGACCTTAAGAGGAGCGAATTCTTGGACCCAGGAGTGCTGGCTGCTTCCTGTCTGCATCCTCCATCTCCTCTGTCTAGTGATTTTATTTTTACTTTCCTAGAGGGACTCACAGTGCCCCAGGGAGAGGTTCAAAGCGCCACTGTTTTATTTTATGCTGTTTTATTGAGACCTAAAAGAAAAAGCAAGATAATGCAGACTTGAAACTCTGAGCCCAAATGCTTACCTAGTACTCAGTTTCTTCTCTAGTAATAATAATGATGATGATGATAATTAAAAATGACAATAATCGTTCCTATCAACTGCTATTTATATTTTTTTACATATCATATGCATAATCTTTTAAAAATGTGAGTGAGCACCTGTTTAAGTTTGCCTATTAAAATGGAATAGGATGGAAATTCCAACACACGCAAATGCATCTCGAATGTGAAGTGATGGGGATATTTAGACATTACCTATTAAGTAGTTATATTAGATTAATTTGCTAATGTGGCAGTATGTTTTTAATGTGAAAGCTAATGTGAACTATCAATGGAAAAGAAAACCTTAATAAAAGAAATTGTGATTGGGGCAGCTGAATTTGCTTGTTGGCAAAATGTGAAGTTTCTTTCCTAGATGACTCAGTCACCAACAATTGCACGTGTGCAATAACTGCCTTGATATCAAAAGATAAACATTTCTGCCTAACACAGCTGACTGAAGAGAAAGGCATTCTACATTACCTTTTCTTCTCTTGTTCCTTCCCCTGCAGGCCATTATGCTGCTGGATTGGACTTAAATGACACCTACTCTGAGAAAGGGGAACCATTTTCTGGGGACCACAGTGCTGATGGATTTGAGGTTATTTCAAGAAGTGAGATGTCCTCAGGAAGTGAGATTTCCCCTGCGAGTGAAGTGCCTTCTGGTAGCGAACTGTCCTCAGGAACCGACTATGACTATTCAGAAGAGTATGACAATGAACCACAAATATCTGGTTTTATTGTAGATGATTCAGTTCGAGGTGAGTAGAGGAGAAAGAAAATGCAACTTATGAGATGTTGGGTTTATATAAACAAAACTGCTTCAGAAAAAAGAAGAAAAGTCACTCCCCAGATTTTCTGGTGGTGTTCTCCTGTGTCTATTGTATGCCCCCTAGGTAAACTGAGACAGGAAGAGCATGTGGGCACATCCTGTATGTTCAGAGTGCTAACATTTGTTTTACGTCTCTTAAATCGAGTTTTCACAACAGTATTAAGTAGGAATTGTTATTCTCATTTTACAGATGTGATAACTGAAGCTCAAAAAGACTAATTGTTTTGCCCAAGATTACTCAGGCAGCCACATTTGAACCAGAATTAGAACTCCAGTGGGTTTGGTTCTAAGCATAAGTTACTTTACGCTTTCCCACTGTGCTACCTGACCCCATTGTGAGAAACAGACTTAAACATTCATCCTTCTTAGCTACTTTGTATCTTAGCTTTTGTATCCCCTTCCCCCACCCCAGCCCACTCCAAACAACTGCATTTTAATATTAATAAGGGAAGAGAAGGAAGTAATGGGGCAGGAGGAATTGGACTTTAAGAACACAGTGTTGAGAAACTGGTAATAATGATAGTAATAATAATAAATTCATCTGGAAATATTAAAGGAGTTCAAATATGCACAGATTTTATTTTGCTAAAATTACTGTTTAACTCCAGATCTCTTTTGTCCATTAAATATTGGCAGCCCATGATTTCCTTCACTTTTGCAGTCGTCTCATCTTTTAAAAAGATTCTTTGCTTAAAATGAGGGTACCAAAGTTGGAGATAACTGTAGTTAATTACTTTCATCCTACTTTGCAGTCTGAGGGATGATGAGGTCATTGATAAATAAGATCTAACTATACTAGGAGCATCCACCACAGAGACAGGACAAGATGGTTTAAGAACTCTTTAGGGCTTCTTCTTTCCTGACTTGAGCTTCTCTGACTCCTCCCCCTGTTTGGCTCCCAAAACTGGTAAAGGGACAGCAAGTGGTACCACAAGGACAGTGACTGTGGTAGATGGCAGGTAGGTGGAAAAAGAGTTAGTGAACACTCCATTCTCTTGCTTCAAACTTGTGCTTTTCTGTGAGGTGGGGAAGGGGTCCATTTATAATGCTTATTTTTGGAGTCATGGGATTAGAGCATCAAGGTGTCTAGAAACTGTCCTTTAAAAATATGTCAAGGTATTAACACTTCAGAAGACAATAAATTGTGACTGGTGCAAATGGCTAGTGTTCAAAATTGCTATGCATTGTGAAATAGAGTGAAAATATTGGTTGAACTTCTTTGAAAGGCTGTCAAGTTAAATGTCCTTGGGGTTACTGTTTATTGCAACACTCAGCGTCATGACTATTATTTGTAATCTATCTGATAAAGTGCAGTAATGTTCATTGAAAATGTTTCCCTTAGAGGGTTTACTCTATCTTGTGCTTTTTTATCATCAGAGGAAAGTTTCAATATAAACATTGCATAACCACCTACTAATCATTGTGCCTAATTTGACTTTTGCTAATGTTATTATAATAACCTGCAAAATAATCATAATATCTGTTTATCATTTTTGTCATCACAGGGATTCTATCTTTGATATTCTTGTTGACATTCACTATGTTTCTAATGTTTTCTATTTAATCGGCACTGCATGATTGTTATGAGTAATGGTATTTTCTCTTTCCATTGGGCTCTGTTTGCTGCATACCCAGATAACTCTTTGCAGAGATTAGTGTGACAATATGCACAGTGCTAAAAAGGAAAGCCCTCTTCCTCTCTTTAGCATGTGGGTAAACTATACCTTGCATAACTATAAAATTGAGCAAAAGTTTCTATGGATCTCTGAAGTATCAAATATAAATATTTCTGGACTCTTATTTTCCAACAGATTGACCACAGATATGAGCTCCCTGGAAAGTATAATTTAATCATAATCTATAAGAATTTGGAAGTTGGAGAAAATTGAATAACTCTAATTTAGAATTCTCAGTTTTTTCCACCCACAAGTAGTACCCACTAATTTCCAACTATGATCTTGAGCACGAGGGCCATAAATAAAATCAACAAATATGTTCCAAGTCTCATTTTAATCAGTGGCATTGACCTTTTCAAAGGGACAACATAGTATGGTAGAAAAATAACAGGCTCTGACATTTCAAAGGGACAACATAGTATGGTAGAAAAATAACAGGCACTGTCATGTTCTAGCTGCTTGTCTTAGGGAGAGTTACTTGTCTTCACTGAACTTCAACTTCTTCATCAATATTCTATGAATAACAATACATACAACTGTGATTTGAATTTAATTAAAATAATGCTCATTATCAAAAACTTGCTATGTATTAGAAATTCAAGAAGTGTTTAAAATAGTTAATGGATTTTCTTAAACACATAACTTCTACTATCAATAATAATAATGATACAAGTCAATTCAAAATATATACCTAAGCTAATGAAATAACCAATGTGTTTAGATGAAGTACCATATGACACAGAGATTCTTTTTGTCCATGTATTGTGTATATATTGTGTTAAATATTAAGGCAAATATGGCTATTATTCCTATGAGCTCTCAATGTTATGACTTCTTTCTCTCATGTCTGCAAAATGATATTCAAAACTAGGAAAGACTACTACCAAAAAATCTAATTTTGTTTATTTTTAGTTGAACAGGTAGTTAAACCCAAGAAAAACAAGACAGAAAGTGAAAAGACTTCAGATAAACCCAAAAGAAAGAAAAAGGGGGGCAAAAATGGAAAAAGTAGAAAAAACAAAAAGAAGAAAAATCCATGTGATGCAGAATTTCAGAATTTCTGTATTCATGGGGAATGCAAATATATAGAGCACCTGGAAGCAGTAACGTGCAAGTAAGACTTCCTAAATTATGTAAAATTCTGTATTTCTAGCACAAGATCTGAGACCATTTATTTTTCCAGTATATAAACCAAGAGTCAGTAAACTTTTTCTTAAAGGACCAGATGGTATATAATTTAGTCTTCATTGGTCAAGACTTTATGTACTTATATAACCAATTAAAATGTAACCATTTAAGTATGCTAAAACCATTCTTAGTTTGCAGTCTGTAAAAAATTGGCAAATGACCAGATTTGACCTTTTCTCTCTGTATGTGTGTGTATATATACATATATATATAACCTTTATAAACATATATAGTAAATCCATATAAACATATATAGTAAATATATATATAGTAAACCTTTTTTCATAATGAACCTAAAGGTAGTTTTTACATAACCTTTCATGTTGCTCTAACCTCCTTTCACTGCTCCCACAAGCTGCTAGCATGTTAAATGGTAGTGAAATGTAATCACTGCATAACAAGTCACTGAACTCATCAATTGGTCATAAAAATAGCACAAAGAATCACTAGGTGTGTCTTCTTGGAATATCACACCCAAACTAATCTCAACTTGTTCTTATACAGATAGATCCTTAGAATGTATTCCATGTCTCACGATTTTGAAATACAAGTATATATAGCATAACTCTCTTTTTAATGTTGGAACTAAATTGCTGTTTGTGATCTGGAAAGTAAGCTTAACATGCACAGAATGTTTTTAGTGACTATAATTTTTAAATGTGGGTTGTTTGCAGATGTCATCAAGATTACTTTGGTGAACGGTGTGGGGAAAAGTCCATGAAAACTCACAGCCTGATTGACAGTGATTTATCAAAAATTACATTAGCTGCCATTGCTGCCTTTGTCTCTGCTGTGAGCCTCATAGCTATCGCTGTTGTTATTACAGTACGGTAAGTATAACTCAACTTAAAAATTCTTAATAAAATAATGGCAGATTATATTTTTCAATATTTCTATTACACTTGACTGTCATATTTTGGATGAATTATTCTACTGGTGACATGTTGTCTTTGGTGTATGTCTTTCTACTTCACTGACAAAAATTATGGAAAATGGTCAAAATTTATATGACTTCAGCCACCATTGAAACTTAATATGTAAAGCCCCTTTTCAGAACTAGAAATTTTTTGAACTTAAAAGCTAGTGGTCTTATATAATTTCATATTTGTACTCATGATTACTTTTGAATCTCAGAAAGTATTGGTATCCTTTGTGAAATCTTAAATTTAAGCAAGCCTCCCAGAAGCAAATTAAGACCTGGTTCATAGTAGATTTTATAGTATCAGATATATGCTGCTTTGGTACTGAAAATCACAAAGCACCTCAAATCATCAGCAGCCAAGGAAAGATACGTCTTCTTTTTTTATTAGAAGACAAAAGTCTGAGTTAGGAATATTATCACATGGTACTAATTCACTTAGAGCTTGTGCTTATTTTGTTATTGTCAAACACCATAGTATGGGAACTCAAGTATTTTAAAAAAACATTTCCACCATATGACACAGCGTAGGAAGCAAGGACAATTATATTACTGTTCCATTCCAGCAGTATCTTCCCTGTGCTCATAATAACAGATCACATATTTCACTTCATGACCAATGAATATTAAAACTAGACTGTCCCAGCTAGTAGGCATTCATGGGTGCATCAAAATGCCATTGTCTGTCAAACAGAAGTCACTGAATAAGGGAAGTTGAGGGAGGTGAATGGCTCTGTGATGACTCATGTGTTACTAGAGCTTGGGAAAGCAAGGACTCATTCTTCTAATTTTAAGTCTTGGTAAATTACTTTAACAAACTGGATTGTGTAGATGATCTGCCACTACTGCCATGCAGGAAACAAGGGGTTATCTTCTGCCATTGTTTACCACTATTTTAAATTTAGATCAGACTGTGATAAAATGATGCATAAAAACTGTTTTATCATGCACATAAAGTTTGATGTGTAGTTTAAATTTGTTTTGCACACCTTAGAGTTTATCCTGGTCTTTTAGTAACCCAGATATGCAAATGTGTTTCGTAAAGGTCCTCTCAGACAAACCATTATTATTTCACATAGAAGGGTAGGACAAAGCTATTGCTATTCAAAAAAAGTTTCATAATATTTAAACTTGCAATTATTCAATGTGAAATATTTAATAGTTTTTGGAAAAGTACAGAAAGACTGTCATGTTGGCACTCTTAAAGTTAAGCGATGGCTTTTCTCCTTTTCTCCCATATTCTCCTTGTATTTGAAACATAAGACAAACATTAAGTATAAGTCACAGTTGCTGTGTGTGTGTGTGTGTTTTTTTAATAATCGAGGCGAGGTTTTTCCCCAAACATTGCAACAAAGTTTTTATGATTTTAATAATAATGTTTAGTAGATTAAAATAGAAATTGTTTGTACAATACCAATATATTCTTAAACCATTGAGTTTTTTTAAAAGTAGAAAGTAACAATGCATAAAACTAGAAGTAAATATTTATACTTAGCAGTAAATAAAGCCCAACTTGTTTTGTAAACCTATTTAAAAATTTAAATGATTTAAATTAGTTGGTACCAGCATAATGTTCTTCTATAGTAAAATTTCACCATCATCATCTCTGATTATACATGGCAGCCGTGCTAAGTTCTGCAGAAAAAAAAGACATATGAATGTGTTACATACCTTCTCAAAGTCTACATTAACAAGACACATGTATTTAAATCTCAGTCCTCTGGAAATGTGTTTATAGAAAGTCAACATAAACAACCTCTTAAAATTGGTTATAGTGTATAGCTAGGTTTAGGTTTTGCTTTAGTGTCAAGTATAGTGTTTAATGGTCTAAAGGGACTCACAGAAAGAAACTGTTTTCATGAAAATCCCAATCAACATGTAGGTGAATAGAACTTTGATAACAGTAGAGTGTCTTGTTCTCTGAAGGCTTCGAAAGCAATACTTCAGGGAATATGAAGGAGAAGCTGAGGAACGAAAGAAGCTTCGACAAGAAAACGGAAATGTGCATGCCATAGCATAACTGAGAATAATATTACAGGTTTGATTTTTTTTATAACTTTATTTTATTATAGAGATGTAGGATACAAGTCAGGATTAGGTACATTATAGACTTGACTTTTAAAAGATATCTTTGGATCATAGCCTATAATTTTAGAAAATATAGCACTGTTTTACCTCAAGAAAAATAAAAATGTATTCTTAATTATGCCTACTATGAATAATGCTACATTAAAGTATTATTCTTTGAGTATGAGATGAAGTTTAGTATTGAGAATGGATTATGTGTTTGATAGTATTATAAGGAATATAAATATGAAAGACAGCAATCCTGTTCTCAAAGAACGTAATGTTTAGCAGATCGGGGAGGGAAATATAAGGAACCAGAGTACTAGGGGGAATAAAATAAGTGTCACAAGAAAGAAACCAGTGGCGTATGAGTAGTTTCCAATGAAAGATAGGAAGAATCCAGCAGGATACATTTAGAGATCAGGAAAAGATGTGTGTTCAGGGTTGCACTGGAAGTGAACCTTGAAAAACTGATGAGATTGGGACAAGAAATTATGAAGGGAAAGGAAGGGTAATACTGCGAGATGGACCAGATACTTTCAGAAACTTGTGAAAAATGGCCTGGTTCAAAGGAGTGTTAGGGTATATAACGTTGTGATGATATGTTGAGCTCATGTGGTGGAGAGCTGAAGTTAAGGTGTTTGCACTAAAACTGTGAAGGCACGGAGTCAGACAGTAGGTTGAATATTCTTTTAAAGAAAGGTAGTAGTAGGGGGGTACAGATTTGAGGGATAGATTGGTGAGGATATATATTTTACTTTTTGTAAAGAGAGAAAGCTGAGAATATTGTAGAAGTTAAGAAGATGTGAAGAGGGATATTTCATTGTTAATGAAAGTGAGCATCTCCAAGAACACTTCCAGAGGAAGAAATAGGCAGGGAGATCAAGGCTTCACTTAAGAAGGAATTTTATTTCCTCAGACATTCAGGAAAGATGATTTCACTTAAGTTCTTAATTTTCTAACATAAGTGGGTCTAAGAATTACTTGAGATGTTTGTTAAATATGCATATGCCTAAGCACAACTCTAAATTTACTGAATCATAATTTCTATTTTAACGAATACTTCAGATGATTTTGTTGCCTGAAGAACCACTACATTTAACACTGGTTATATACAGATTTTATCTTCTGAGCCTATTACAGAATTAGCTCAATAACTCATAAAATGGGTAATTACCTATACCAATGCTATACTTGGTATTTATTGCCTCAAAATGTATTAATTTATTGACTTCACATACTGAAGCTAAGATCACCAACATAATTAAACATGGAATTTTGGTTGTTTAGAGTCATTGAGATCTCTCAGCATAGGTCCCAGAATGATTTCAGGAAAAGGACTACGCTGTGCTGGCATGCAGTGACTGCCTATTAGCTGGTAGTTACTATTATTATACCCTTGGTACTAATTATCCTAAATTAACTGTATATCACAAATATGCTGAGCCACTTAATCTTTGTTTTTAATTATATCCCCTTTATAGATTTGGTTAGGAAAACTATTTCTCATGACTGTTGATGCTTTTTTATTCATCAGAATTTGATGTAGCAGATTTGAGCATATGCAGTAGGTATATGAGCAAAGAAGGTGTGAATGAGGGAATCAAGCCAAAGAGATGGTTTGCCTCTGAAAATCTCTTAGCATTTCTCATAGGATATGCTAGCAAAAAAAATGAACAGAAATTCTGATTTTATCCTTTGAAGTTTTCTTAAAGCTGTGTTGGAATTAAGTTTATCTCTGACACCTATTTTCTCATAGGATATCACATTGGAGTCACTGCCAAGTTACAACTAGAAATGAAGCATTGGTCCTCTTTCCGGTGGATAATAAGAAAATGGAACCTTTTTGTTCTCATGGTTTTAAACTTTCAATTGTCACTTTTTATGCTAAGTCTTATGTCTGTACATAAAGATGCATGAAGATGAAAAGTATTTTTTCAAGTTGTAAATAATTTATTTAATATTTAATGGAAGTGTATTTATTTTACAGCCCATTAAACTTTTTTAATCAAACAGATTGAGAGTTTGAATGTCACTTTTGAAATTGCAAGACTCTAGGACATTTTTCTCCGAACATTTGGTTGATCATTTAAGAAGGATTTCCTCCCCCCCTTTTAACGTTTTTATGTTGATTTTTAAAACTTTTTTCCTTAGAAAGCTCTGTTAATAGAAAAATTACAAACTAGAGTCACTTAGTCCTCCCACAAACATAATGTTCATAATAACAATCCCAAACTGGCCCTGCTTATCCCATGGAGAAATTATACCAGGTACTGTTAATTATTATACCAGGTACTGTTAATTATAAAAGCACCTCGAATCAAGATGTGGCACTACCTCTCTGTAACCGTGGACCTAGATGTTATAAGAGAAAGCAAACTCACTGCCTGTCACTATATACACAGAGACAGGAATAGGTTTGAATATCATAAAAGTGATATTTTAAGAGAACCAGAAATTATTTACATGTGAGACTTCTTTCCCTAATATCATGACATGAATGTATGAAGCGTCCAAAACCCAGTCCTACCATCCCTCCCTTGCTACTCTTTTCTTACAGTACTGTATTTCAAACAAACGTGTGTGTGTGTGTGTGTGTGTGTGTGTGTGTGTGTGTGTGTGTGTGTGTGTGTGTGTTTTGTGGTGGATGCTACTTTCAAGGACATTACGGTTATGTCTTAATGTCCTTGAATGTACATTGAGAAAATTAACCAGTAATAAGAATAATACCAGTGATCATCTGGTAGAAATTCATGAATGAAAAATGCCTTAAGCAGTAAGACCTCCATCTGTCTCTGGCACACCACCCATCACATCTTTGCTCAGTTATCATTTAACCAGTGGGCTCCTAGCCTCAGCTGTGTCTTATCACTTGAGGAGCTTTAAATGCCTATGCTCCTAGATGCCCTTCCCAGAGCTGTTAATTTCAAGGGATTGGAGTACATTGTTGGTATTTGTATCTTTTAAAGATCTGTAGATATTTCCTATATGCTGCCTGTGTTGAGACCATTTCAACCTCTACTTGAACATATTCAGCACACAGTTTCCTCAGTCTTGTTCATGAAATATTTATTGCAGATGATTCAAGTATAGTGCAAAACAAAACAAACGAACAATAAGATGATTTATTATAAAAGCAAGGGTGATTATAATAAGATAGGGAAGAGAGACCCTCAGGTTTCTGCCTTCAGTGACTAGGTGGTTGGTGACGTCATGATTTAAAGTGAGGAATTCCTTCAACTGGCTTCTTGGATATTTTAGAGGGGAAGCTTGGCTTTTTGTTTTTCTTGACTGAAGCATGGCCCTTCTCTATTTTGTAAAATTATCCTTTGTAATTTGTAGCATATTTATGAGGAAAGAATATCAGCCTGGCCAGTTAATCAACTGAATCAGCCCTGACCCTCACCTCACATTTGAGATTGAACAGAAAGCGGAAAGACTAGGTCTGCAAGTGTAATGACGAGTGAGCTTTGAGTCTCTTGAGTTTGAGAGGTTTGGAGGGATCCAGCAAGCAGTTAGATATCAAGTCTGGAGTTCAGGGAGGGGTAGAATCATGAGTTGAGAATTATCAAAATATATTTGATAACAGAAACTCCAAAAGTGTCCAATATTACCCAAGGTGGTTATAAAGAGTCAGAAGAAAATGTATTTGCATTGACACATCTTACCACTGGTCACCATATACTTGGAGACTGCTATATTCACTGTGAAGATTCAAGGCACTTAGTTGCCTGCTGCTTCATGCACTTTGCTAGCCCTTAAAAGTTTATGAAGTCATTACAGTGGAATAGAAGGAGAAAAAAACTACTAGAATCATCATCATCATCATCATCATAAAAGTTTTTTGAGTATTTTTATAACCTATGGATTCTTCTAAATGCTTTACACATAGTAACTCACCTATTTTTCACATCTTCTTAGAAGATAAATACACTTTATAAATAACTGAATTGAAGCTCAGAGAGATTAAGAAACTTGTCTGAACATTTGTATACCTAACCCTGAATTGTACCCCACATCTTTAAAATTAAAAATTAAAAAAGAAACTTTTCTATGGTCACATAAATAGTAAATTACAGTGTCATGTCAGGTTCTCTGGCTACAAAACTGATTCACTTGTATTTTTCTCTCTGCTGCTTCTCCTATAGTCAAAGTGTTTGGTTTGGGTTTAGAGAATTCTGTCTGCATACCAATTTAGCATGGTTTTGACTGCCACTCATTTGTGATACTTTAATAGCTGGTTTATACTTCTAAGACCTAAGTAAGATGACACTGTTTTATCTATCTGTGCTGCCTCCACATTTCCCAATCTCTTCTCTCCATCATTGTCTCTTAAAATATGACAGATCTCTTATTTATATGTGCACACACTGAATGGTAAACACAGACAAAGACATATCAGACACATAAATCTTGAAAATACACAATTAAAGCTGAATACTTCTTGTTAGCCAAAATAGTGACTCCACTTTCTGAAAAAGCTGTTGTTCAATTAATTAGATAGCATCTACATATGTGTGTTTTGCTTAAGAGAACAGCAATTTATGAAGTACTGATTAGATTAGGTTGAAATATCAACATTCCTTCTTTGAGGCAAATCCCACTAATTCTAGGATTTGATAAATAATATTTAGTTTTCCATTTTCTTCCATTAGTGATCTCAGAAGCTAAAAGTCTAGAGTAAAATTTAATTTGAGATGACTGTCTGGCAAATTAAATAAGGAACATGTACCAGCAATGCTTGGTGTCTCTTCCCTGGATATCTCCAGCACTTTGTGGCACCTAGGAGAGGAGCATGCTATTATAGCCAGGTCCCCAGGAGCGCCTTACCTTGGGCATTTAGCTCAGAGAACAACTCATTATTTTTTCTATTTACCTGTGTTGCACCCCAAGCTTAGGTGCTTATTTTGTATATAGACAATCTACTTCATAACTCAAGAATCATTACATTCTGTTTTAGGCTATTTAAGCTGAACTACCTCTTCCTTGTGGATAACTTTCTCCATGCTTACTGTTTGCCTCCAGGTAGGTGAGATTCCCCTATCATATACTCTCTCATAGCATTTACTAACATTCCAATTACATATTTGTGTAATTTTTAATTTAATTTTTTTCTCCCCTGGTCTATAACTTCTCAAGGACAGTGATTGAGTCTTTTTCATTGCTCAATAAAGATATGTTGATTCAAGAATTAATAATTAAAAGTCATTCAATATCTTTTATTGTAACTGTCATCATTGCAGAAAGTATTTTGTAACTTGAAAGAATTGTATGGGTTTGAAAAGCTAGATAGTGTCTTTACTCACTAGTAGAAATTCTTTTATGGATAATGGAGTAACAATAATAAAGTCTCAATGAACTTAATTATTTTTATTTAAGAGGAATAAAAAGTATATACACATTTTCAGTCAGTTTTCATGGGCCTGAACCCTGGCTGTTTCATTCAGAAGTTTCTTATGTCTAAAATTGCCTCTGCTATTAGACTTTATCTTTTTTTTCCTCCCAAAACTCTAGGGCTTATTTCTTTTATCTAACTGTAATGTTGTATTCTTTGACACATTTATCCCTATCCCCCACATCCTCCCATCACACCCAGACTCTAGTATTTTCTGTTCTTTTTATTTCTATGAGACCAATTTTTTTTTAGTTTTCACATTTGTGTGAGAACATGTGGTGTTTCACTTTCTGTTCCTGGTTTATTTCATTTAACACAGTGTTTTCCATCCACATTGCTGCGAATGACAGAATTTCCTTCTTTTTTTATGACTGAACAGTATTCCATTGTGTACAATACCACTTCTTTTGTAATCCAGTCATATGTTGAACACTTGAGTTGATTTCATATCTTAGTCATTGTGCTGCAATAAACATGGGGGTGAAGCTTTCTCCTTGATATCTTGATGTCTTTTCCTTTGTATACTTGCCCATTAGTGGTACTGCAGAATCACATGGTAGTTCTCTTTGCAGTTTTTTGAGAAATCTTTATGCTGTTCCCATAATGGCTGTATGAGTTTACATTTCCACCAATGGTGTAGAAGAGTTCTCTTTGCATTGTCACGGGCATTCATTTTGATAATTGACATTCTAACTGGAGTGAGATGATATCTCATTGTGGTTTTAATTTGTGTTTTCCTGACTAGTGATGTGGAGTACTTTTTTATATTTGCCAACCATTAGCATGTTTTCTTTTGAGAAATGTCTGTTCAGATAACTTGCCCATTTTAAAATCAGATTTTTTTCTATAGAGGCATATTCTGGATACTACTTTCCCTTTAGATGAACAGTTTGCAAATATCTTCTTCCTTCTGCAGGTTGTCTCTTCACTCTGTTGATTGTTTCCTTTGTGTGCCGAAGCTTATAGTTTGATATAATCCATTTGTTTATTTTTGCCTTTGTTTCCTGTGCTTTTGAGGTCTTCTTTATAAAATAGTTTCTCAAACCAATGTCTTGAAACATTTTCCCTATGTTTTCTTCTAATAATTTTAAAGTTTCAGGTTTTACATTTAGGTATTTAATCCATTTTGAGTTGATTTCCGAATAGGGTGAGAGACAGGGGTCTAGTTTTATTTTTCTGCATATGGATATCCAGTTTTTCCAACATTATTTATTGAAGAAACTGTCCTTTTCCCCAATGAATGTTCTTGGCATCTTTGTCAAAAATCAGCTGACTGTAGATACTGTAGATACAGAATAATTTGGGGGTTTTCTATTCTGTCTCATTGGTCTATGTGTCTGTTTTTGTGCCAGTAACACGGTGCTTTCGTTACTAAAGTTTTGTGGTGTATTTTGAAGTCTGGTAGTGTAATGTCTACCGTTTTGTTCTTTCTGCTCAGGAATACTTTGGCTTCCAAGGTTTTTTGTTGTTCCATGAAAATGTTAGGGTTTTTTTTTTCTATTTCTATGAAGAATGTCAGTGCTATTTTGATAGGGATTGTATTCAGTGTGTAGGTTGCTTTGAGTAGTATGGTCATTTTAACAATATGAATTACTCCAGTTCATGAACTTGAAATGTCTTTCC